GAGCCCCAGGACCGACGACGACGACTCCGAGGATGGACGACTACCAGGACGACCAGGATGGACGACTGCAAGGATGGACGACTTCGAAGACAGACGACGACGACGACAACGACGACGACCGGGATGGACGACGACGAAGACTGAAGACCGAAGACTGAAGACCGAAGACGACGGGGGCGAAGAGGCAGGCAACAGGACGGTTGCCCTGCCGAAGAGGCAGTCGACACTGGCGGTCGATCTGCTGAAAAGGTGGGGAACACCAGCCACAAATGGTGCGCAGCTAGTGCTTGGAGCGTCTCGACCGCTCTTTCCTCCTTGCACATTTGCTGGGTAATCAAAAGATCAGGTCCCTCAAGATATTACTGTCCCTCCTCGGACGTGGGGGGACCGAAGAGGACGGTCGACAAGGACGGTCGACTGTCTGAAGACGGCGAAGCGGATGGGTAAGTAGAGGGTTAGGGAAGGCCATGGGTTGCTGCCTTCTCTTTCCTTTCTTTCTTTTCTTATTTCTTTTTTGTATTTTTAAAAACCAATAAAAGACAATTCAAATTGTATTTCAAACAAGTCTTTATTCATTCTCAATCATCAAACAATACAAAGATTTACAAATAGAAACAATGTCTTCGGCCATACAAGCCAAAGACTGCTGCTGCTTCTTCTTCGGCGGCGATGCCATCCTCGACTTGCTGCTGCTCCTGTCGCGTCCATCCTCGAGGCCATCCATCCATCCTCGAAGTCTTCAGAAGGCTGTTGTTGCTGCTGTCCGCCACCACCACCAGACCATCCTCTTCAGTCGTCCTCGAGTAAAGTTGCCGGCAGATGATGATGGCGAGGAGAATGATGATGACGATGATGATCTGCACGGCCATCAGCCTGGTTGGTGCGGCAAGAGGGGAGAGAGCGCGAGAGGATGATGAAGAAGGCCAGACCAGTCCGAAGCTGAGAGTTGATGCACCTGTAAAAAGAAAGCAAACAGTTACACAAAGTATCGAGAACTGAACCAAAACAAACGCCCGTAGTACTTATCTGAAGGGAAGAGTCCTGGCTGATGGGGAGCCGGTGGGAGAGAGAAGAGGACGAGGACGATGACGATGAGGATGATGAGGGCGATCCAAGCGAAGAGGGTGGCTGGCTGGTCCTGGTAGCTGGTCGATGTCTTCGGCGATGTCTTCAGCGGCGGGCGCAGGCCATGCCGCCGGCAAAGAGCAGCAGCAGCAGCAGCGGGCAGAGAGGCAGAGAGGCACGTCTGCTCTGCTCGGCGTCCACCAGGCAACTGACGACCAGGCGCCACAAATGCAAGTCAGCAAGAACAACAGCGGCAGCAGCAGCGGCACCGTACAACACCAACGTGACAGTTGTCACCACGACAAGTCAGAGTCAGACGCTGAACACGAACAAAGAGTGTGCCACAATCTGTTTACATTGCTTACCTTTTTCCATCCATCCAGTGATCTTCTCACCGCTCTTCAGCCCGAGCTTCTGTTGCCAATCTTCTCCTTCTCCCAGAACAGTGTGTTCCACAATGACCTCCTCATCTTCGGCCAGGCCGCCGACCACGCTGTACGACGTGCTGGGCGTCGCCGCGGAGGCGACCACCGAGGAGATCAAGAAGCGCTACCGAGCGCTGGCCATCCGCTACCATCCGGACAAGCTCGTCGGCCTGTCGACAGACAGTGAAGCAGCCAACGCCCACTTCGCCGCCATCACCGAGGCGTACAAGGTGCTCTCCGACGACCGCCAGCGACGGTGGTACGACGCCCACGCCGTGGAGCGCCTCTCCGCGGCGGAGATCGAGGAGAGCCACCTCGATGAGGCCTACTTCACCTCGGCCTGCTTCAGCGGCTTTGAAGAGGACGGCAAGTGGTCTTCGAGAAGCTTCTACACCGTCTACGGCTCGCTCTTTGAGCGCATCGTCGAGCTGGAGCAGCGCTTCAACGAGGACTTTGACTACCCCGTGTTTGGCGGCTCAGGCGCAGAGCTAGCTGAGGTGAAGCGCTTCTACGACGTCTGGCAGTCCTTCAGCACCGGCTTCACCTTCAGCCACCTCGAGGGCCTGTTCGACACCAAGTCAGCCGCTAACACTAGCCGCCAGGTGCTCCGCCTAGCGA